GAAAAAAAAAAAAAAAAAAAAAAAACGCCAAACAAAAATACGTAAAACTTATAAATATCAGTTACCGATATTTAAAATAAAGCTAAAGAAATCTACTGGCCAATATCAATTCTAATTTTAAAGCTGCCAATATCTACTGACCAGTAGAACAAACACAAAAACGAATCTACATCCATTGTTATCACTTAATTGGTATAATGGCTGTCTCTTATACACATCTAGATGTGTATAAGAGACAGATTAACATAATTTATATTTATATGTATGCCCAGAGATGTATGTGCTAGGCCTAGGCCTACCTGAGATGTAATAACTAATACCTCCGATATGTCAAGTTTTTATAATGAGATTTATATTATTACTTTATTTTGTTTTAGAATTCGCAATTAAAATAACAATCCGAAGCAAAGAATACAAGGCACTGGCATCACAATCATATTTTCTTTGGTCACTAGAGTTTGCAAACCATAGTTACCAACGTGAGAGATTTGAGATGTTGGACTGGCACCGGGTGCCGCCAGGTTACATAAACAAAAATATTTTTAATAAAAAGAATGTGAAATGATATAGCGAAAGCTGGCAATTGTTTGGTCCGAGTACGTAAACTTGAAAGAAACATTTGCTTGTGAATTGATTCTCAAACGAGATAACGAAATCTCTCTAATGACTCAAGTTACTGTATGACCATTTATATATTTTAATAAAACAGATTTATTCTAATTTTGAATACATTTTTCCCAGAATTTGTTATAATTTGTGAACACATAGACTTGTGCTAAATGCATGACAAATTTATGATCACGCATATGTTTCTGCAAAATGTGTTTTTCATCCAAAATCACTTTGAAATGCGGGACCGTCAAGCACCTGTCTCTTATACACATCTAGATGTGTAGTAAAACAAAGGTTAAGGATCATATTCCTGATATTTTTGATGAAAATAATGTGCTAGTTAACACTAGTAAATCAAAAGCAGAAGTGTTCAATAATGCATTTGCTAGTGTGTTTACAGATGAGTCTCATGATCCTCCGGTTTTAGACAATATGGATGTGCCTGGTATAACTTCTATAGAGTTCACAGTTGAAGAAGTGGTAAATCATTTTAAGAGTTTAGACATTACAAAGTCCCCCGGTCCTGATGGGATTCATTCTAGAGTACTGACGGAAGTAGTTGAGGTACTTGGAGAATTGATAACTTTGTTGTTTAATATGTCTTTAAGAGAAGGGAATGTTCCCGATTCGTGGAGACAGGCTAATGTTGTGCCTTTGTTTAAAAAAGGAAATAAAAATAATCCTTTAAATTATAGACCTGTGAGTCTTACTTCTGTAATTTGCAAGTCTATGGAAAAGCTGGTTAAAAAGTCAGACTTTATGAGTATTTGGAATCTAATAATTTAATTAGAGAAGAGCAACATGGTTTTCGCTCTGGTAGATCTTACACTACTCAATTACTGGAAGTAGTTTATCAGTGGATCAATGGACTCAATGGCTTGATAGTGGTTTGTCGTTTGATTGTATTTATTTTGATTTTCAAAAGGCATTTGACAAAGTTCCTCATCGTAGGTTATTGTCAAAATTAAAGTCTTATGGAGTATCTGGAAACTTGTTGAATTGGATTGTGGCATTTTTGAAAGATAGGAAACAGAGAGTGGTCGTTAATGGTGTTAGTTCTGGATGGCAATTGGTGTCTAGCGGGGTTCCTCAAGGTAGTGTCCTTGGGCCTTTATTATTTTTAGTTTTCATTATTGATTTACCCAAAACTGTTTCTGATTCATTTATAAAGTTGTTTGCGGACGATACTAAGCTGTTTAGAGTTGTCAATTGTGAGAATGATCGTGAGATTCTACAGGGGGATGTAAATGCTTTATACCAGTGGTCGATAGACTGGCAATTGCCATTTAACTTAACAAAATGCAAGGTTATGCATTATGGAGTTAAAAAATTTTAATTTTAAATATTTTATTGGAACTGGTACATCAAGATGTGAAATTGAATGTGTTAAGGAGGAATCAGATCTTGGTATTCTATTTGATGATAAGTTGGATTTTTCTAAACACTCGGTAAAGGTTGTAAGAGCAGCAAATAGAAGATTGGGTCTGATCAAAAGAGCATTTAAATTTCTTGATGGTAATGGTTTTTTGCGTCTCTATAAGTCAATGATTCGTCCTGTGATAGAGTATGGTAGTTGTGTCTGGAATTCTAAATACAAAAAAGATTCTGATTTATTAGAGAAGGTCCAACAACGCTCCACCAGATTGATTAGAAGTCTGAGTGACAAAGCTTATGTGGAGAGACTTAAGGCTCTTAATTTGCCAACTTTGTTATTTAGAAAAAAACGA